ATGGTTAACTAGTAATAGGCTATAATAGGACTTAAACATTTATATAGCAGTATTAAAAATATGTCACAGATAAGATTAATTACATTTGATGCGACAAACACCTTATTCAAAGTTTGTGGTAGTGTTGGTGAGATATATGCAAAAACCAAATTTTGGTCGTACAGTCAGAATGTCATCTCAAGAATGGTGGAAAAGTGTTGTTGATATTTCATTCAATGGTCAAGTAAATTCTGATATCCTTGGCAAGATATCTGCTGATTTATATCAGAATTTTATAAAGAAAACTCACTGGGAATTATTCCCTGATGTTTTGCCTGCTTTGGAACATTTCAGAAACAAAGATATTAAACTTGGTGTTCTCTCAAACTTTGAGTTGGTAGTTTAGTGAAGCTACAGGTGGTTAACCCACATGCTGTTGGTAGCTTGGTGAAGCTACAGATGGTTAACTCACATGCTGTTGGTAGCTTGGTGAAGCTACAGATGGTTAACTCACATGCTGAGCTACAGGTGGTTAACCCACATGCTGTTGGTAGCTTGGTGAAGCTACAGATGGTTAACTCACATGCTGTTGGTAGTTTAGTGAAGCTATAGATGGTTAACTCACATGCTGTTGGTAGTTTAGTGAAGCTATAGATGGTTAACTCACATGCTGTTGGTAGTTTGGTGAAGCTACAGATGGTTAACTCACATGCTGTTGGTAGTTTAGTGAAGCTACAGGTGGTTAACTCGCATGCTGTTGGTAGTTTAGTGAAGCTACAGATGGTTAACTCACGCGCTGTTGGTAGTTTAGTGAAGCTACAGATGGTTAACTCACATGCTGTTGGTAGTTTAGTGAAGCTACAGATGGTTAACTCACGCGCTGTTGGTAGTTTAGTGAAGCTATAGATGGTTAACTCACATGCTGTTGGTAGTTTAGTGAAGCTATAGATGGTTAACCCACATGCTGTTGGTAGTTTGGTGAAGCTACAGGTGGTTAACCCACATGCTGTTGGTAGTTTAGTGAAGCTATAGATGGTTAACTCACGCCCTGTTGGTAGCTTGGTGAAGCTATAGATGGTTAACCCACATGCTGTTGGTAGTTTAGTGAAGCTATAGATGGTTAACCCACCTGTTGGTAGTTTAGTGAAGCTACAGATGGTGAACTCACATGCTGTTGGTAGCTTGGTGAAGCTACAGATGGTTAACCCACATGCTGTTGGTAGTTTAGTGAAGCTATAGATGGTTAACCCACATGCTGTTGGTAGTTTGGTGAAGCTGCAGGTGGTTAACCCACATGCTGTTGGTAGTTTGGTGAAGCTACAGATGGTTAACTCACATGCTGTTGGTAGTTTGGTGAAGCTACAGATGGTTAACCCACATGCTGTTGGTAGTTTGGTGAAGCTACAGATGGTTAACTCACATGCTGTTGGTAGTTTGGTGAAGCTACAGATGGTTAACTCACGCGCTGTTGGTAGTTTGGTGAAGCTACAGATGGTTAACTCACATGCTGTTGGTAGTTTGGTGAAGCTATAGATGGTTAACTCACATGCTGTTGGTAGTTTAGTGAAGCTACAGATGGTTAACCCACATGCTGTTGGTAGTTTAGTGAAGCTACAGATGGTTAACTCACGCGGTGTTGGTAGCTTTTTTATAAAAAGATCACGTGGTTGTACCTGAGCAGAATCCTTCCTACAACCTTCAAGTTTAACGATCTGACCAGCAGATTTCTCTTGTAATGTAAGACAGAGATCACGATGTTTCACTTTGTTGTTTCGAGTTAAAGACCATTCCTACGGGTAAAACAAGACAATATGGTATACAGACAAAAACCTCCTGTTTCAAAAACGATTACGAACCTGATTGCTCGCACTACTAAAGTACGCTTTAATATCGATTTTACCTACTGATTTATACACTCATTGCTCGCACTACTAGGGTAGGCTTTACTATTTTACCTAGACTGATTTATACAAAGACGATGGGAGAAAATCTCCTTGATTACCAACCTGATTTCCCCCACTTCCATGACATTTATTAGTTCTAACCGAGCCACCACTGAGACGACCCATAGTATCGACACACAGGTCACCCTGTCTTAATTCGCCGAACGCCACGTCATCCTGGTCTGGAACTCTGCAAAGACAAAAACGCGGGAGGTTTTAAAACACATGGTACAGAGATCACGGAACACATGTATACAGCATCTGTAGTTTATACTTACTGCAGTTCAGGATAAACATTCTCTAGATACCACTTGAAGGACTCGCATTTCAAATTTTTACGTAATTCAACACGAGATTTTATACTATATTCAGAAGAATAAAAATTAGAGCGAAAAATATCCTAACATATTTCATTTCACATACTTGTCATGAGGTTTATACTAATTATAGTTTTGAATTTTGAACACTTACTTGCCATAAAGTTTATTTTTTGAACCATGTCTTGCGGCAAAGAAATATTTCTTGTAATCGTCCATCCAGACTTCGGCAGTCCGTCGTGTGTTTCTAGGAATTTGAAATGCTGCATCAAATATGAATAAATGACGTGACGGCAGGAAGTAATTGGCTAATCGCTGTTGCGAATACCCTGCCATATAGTCTATTTAGTTAATTGGTTAAATCATTACTTTGTAATAACTGTTAAGACTATCTGGCGAATCTAATAAATTAAACGTTAGCTTACCGTATATAAGTATTTGAGTTTCCATTAGGGAACGAATATGGGTGTTTCTTACGGAAAACGTGACCAACACGTGAACAAGGAATGATCTCCATGCTCCCATGACACATCCACGTTCGGAAAGACATTTCTAAAACAATCAAGAAAACTCTTCAGGTTTCCTACATGCACGTGGTTGACACGTGACATGTAACCATGTTTATATGGAGCGTTTGTTGTGCAGATACTGGAGTCTTACCGAAGTTTTCACCACCCCATATATCCATCATCGTATCATATTTTCCTATCTTTGCAAAGAAATCTTTATCAATCACAAATAATCCTCCAGCAATTATGGGAGTTCTAGCGAGAGAAAACACAACTTTATCAGACTGGGTGAACACCACTTCACAAACATAAATTATGTGTGTGGAAGAAAACGTCACGTTCATCTACCAGGATGAAATCAAAGAGCTTACTTGATTGGAAATATAGGTGCATTTCTTCTTTCAATTTTTTGTTGAGGAGTCAGTTCATCCCACTTAAAATGCAAGCTCCAATCAAACCCTTAAAACAAAGTTCAATCACTTCCTTAGTGTAAGTTAATTCTCAATAAGGAATTGAATCCAATGTTATCAGTGCTCTGAATGAGTAGTTGACAACAAACACTTTACCTCCTCTGATATCAGCTGAAGCCCCAATATATTTAAAATTTTGCATACTAATTACATCAATGATAGGACAAACAACACGTGAAGGATTCTACAAAATATAAAGAGCTATAACTACTTCATTAGAAATAAGCATTTCATATTTGCCAGGAAGATGTGTTTACCTCTACAACTCTCTGGAGTAAAGGTTGAAGCCAGCCAACATTGCATTCACAATGACTGTCCAAGAACGTCAATACACGACCAGTGGCTGCGTCAGCACCGCGGACACGTGACCGAATTAGACCTGACAAAATAAATATAGCTAATTAGCCTGAAAACAGACCTACGTTTCACCCTTCCGTCGCCCCGCGAATTTTAGGGTGGTCGAAACGTAGGTCTGTTTTGAGGCTAGCCTTTCTCGCCCTCAATTTATCCACCATTTTTGATGTATTGCTTCTACCAAGTCTGAGACACTGCGAAATGCGATTGTGTAATGTATATAATGCTAAATTTACATTTTACAACTTTGAAAAGTCGCTTTTCACATTGTCTTAAATGTCTAGATCATTTAACGAGGGAAGACAGTACCCAGGTACTTGATTACATGTTTATGGGTGGCACTGACAATGGTTAATGAATACACAATTTATCTTAAATGAAGCTCTGTCGTTAGTGCATGTAGCTATACAGCACATGTACAACGACTGTCTATACCTTCTCTTTTCTCATTGCGGAGCAAGCGAACTTTAGGAAGAGACAACAACATTGAACCATCATTGGCTAGAAATGAAATGTTTCAAACTCACAATTATTATTCAATAATTATAATACTTACTACTATTACGTCTTTACAACTAATATATAAGTTACATTTATATTTACATAATTTATAAGCCACAAATGAAGAAACGAATACACATTTTCCTGAAACTTACGGTCATCACTAAAGTCATCAATAAGTATAATTTCTCTGATCAACTTTCCTGGACTTCTATTCAGAATACTGTGAAAAATGAAACACCATTAATTAAGAGAATGTTTAATTACAAAGGTAGAAAAATGCTGTTGTTGTAAAATGAGTACCTTTTTACAGTTCTTAACAAGGTGGATCGTGCTTCATTATAGAAGGTTATAATGATGCTGGTTGTTGGTAAGTCATTGAGATACTTCACACTTGAACAGCTACAGAATTCACAACAGAATATTGTCAGGGGAAGATGGAGGGCATAAATATTCATCTGATCTACTAAGCATGGCGGGGGCTTTAATTGCTAAGAGAAATACGACTAAAAATGTATGCATGAGCCGGTTTTTGTTTCCTAACAATTTCTTGCATTTAACTTGGAAAAATGGGAGTCTCATTAATATTCAAGACACCACAAGCATGTTTTCTTTTCTGCAGGAATTTGCAGACCAGCTAGCCGTACCATTCCTCGAGACTAGCGCAAAAAACGCTACAAATGTCGAAGAAGCTTTCATGACGATGGCAGCAGAAATAAAGAACAGAATGGCTCCGCCTGCAGCGTCGGTAACAGGTCAGAACAGTAACGTGAAAATAACAAGTACGCCAGTGAAACAGGGCGGTGGTGGGTGTTGCTGAGATATAAACGATGATTTAGAGACAAAAAATAATATGACAAATAACCCTAATTGAACGCTGACGAAACGTAGTATAATACCATCATCCTCCTCATAACAGCTCCTGCCTTGATGCTGTTGGGATTCTAGTACAAACAAAAGCCACAGATCGAAGGGGCACTCCTACAACACTACGCATGCGTCACGACTACAACGTAATTTGAGACTTTAATTTGTTTGTAGGATATATCTTTGTAATAGTTGGTTTGTTTCTTATTATATTATTATTATTATAATTATGGCGATTAAGTAGCGGCTAGGGTAATTGTATTGGGATCTATGCTGTTGGGATTCTAGTACAAACAAAAGCCACAGATCGAAGGGGCACACCTTACAACACTACGCATGCGTCACGACTACAACGTAATTTGAGACTTTAAAGGCACAGTTCAGCCTGTTGAACGATGGTTTTTAAGGCGCATTTCAGCCCTTTTAATTGAAAAAACTAACTAGGAAAATCAATTAAGCATAATTCAAAATCAGTAAACTCGATGTTTTTAACAATATAAAGGTTTTAAAATGTTAAAAACATTAAGTTTGGTGATCTTGAATTATGCTTAATTGATTTTCCTAGTTAGTTTTTTCAATTAAAAGGGCTGAAATGCGCCTTAAAAACCATCGTTCAACAGGCTGAACTGTGCCTTTAATTTGTTTGTAGGATATATCTTTGTAATAGTTGGTTTGTTTCTTATTATATTATTATTATAATTATGGCGATTAAGTAGCGGCTAGGGTAATTGTATTGGGATCTAGAATATGTGTCCGCTGAAAAAGGTTTCTGCCAATGGAAGTAAATGTATTTGAAAAGAAATACTACATGTATCGATCTTTAAGCCTGGTTCACAATTTTGTCGGTCTTTGTCTTTCTGACGGATGCAAATGAGTGAACTCGCACACAAAAGTACAGAGTCGCTTTTCAGAAGTAAACAATTCTAAGTCTTTTACATCTCATTCATTCCATCACATTCGCCAGGAGAAGAAAAATCGCGTCAAACCAGCTTCAGAAACTGACAATGATATTGCAACCCTTATAAGTTACCAAATCTGTCAAAATTATTTTAACAACACCTGATCTATCACTCGACTGTCCCTCCTCACACCAAACATCGAGTTTAAAGTTTCGCGTGTACACCGAAACAGATTCTCGTATTGTTGCAGAAATCTTCCTTTTCTTGCTATTGTTTCCCGATGGAGAACAAACCAGGAATCATTTGGCTGTTGAGTTTTTTCATCTGAATAAATTGGTCGATTATAACTAATACTGGCTATGACAATTGCCATAGATGGTTTTCTTCTTGATTTGATGGAAAACAGTTTTGCCAGAGAGGAAATTTTTCGACAGTGGACAAACAAGGAAACATTGACATAATTTAATCTTCAGTTGTTGATTCTATTCGCCTCTTTTCGGATTTTCGCTCACTTTTTCCTTATTGGCAAATTTTTTTAGGCTCCGTTGTTCGCTATTTTTTCCACTTTTGCCAGTAGTGCTATATTTTGTACAACGAAGCTCCCAATTTAGTTGGTCATGTATTTTTTCGTAGTCTTGTGTTTTCGTAACTTTATTTGTAATATTTTAGGGGCAAGGCGGTAATGTTCTATTATTACGTACTACGATAGCGATTATTATTAAAGTGAACATCTATAAGTTCTTGTTCTTCCTATTTTTGCTTTTGTTGATTTGAGCTAATAGTATATTAAAAACGAATGGGAATTATATTCGCTCTGTCGTGAATCTAAGCCTAAGGGCCTGCAGTTCCTATGGAGCCAGGCTGCCCCGGTTAACCGAGATGATTCGTTCAACAAAGCTCTTATCGAGGCTTTGATCAACATCCAAAATGGCATTTCAAAATTGAATAGACCTTATGCATAATGACGTCACAAGGCTTGATGCCCGCGAGGAATGCTGATCTTACTAGTTATCGGCTGGGAAAATTTCGATAGAGGCCATTTTGAATTGTTTAACTTTCCCAGGCGATGACTACTAAGACCAGCATTCCTCGCGGGCATCAAGCCCTGTGACGTCATTATGCATAAGGTCTATTAGTTTAGTTGCAGTAGAGTAGAAAGTTCATTCAAACGAATTGTGACTCGATTCATCCCTGCTAGCCGAGCTGTCACGGCTCATATGAACAGCCCACTGGCGTAACGCAACCTCAGAAGCCCCTCCCCCCCGTCAATCAACCTCCCCCACTAAAGCATAGGCTCTATTAGGCTGTATTTCTGTCCACGCAATCGCAGTGCGATAGGCACCAATACACCCTTTCGATAATTACGTCATTTGGCCCGGGAGCCTCGCTCTCATGAATCATGAGCCAATCACCTTGCATAATTTACTAATGAGAGCGACGCTCCAAGACCAAAAATCATTATTAGATACGTAATTATCGAAAGGGTGTGTTGGTGTAGTCTTGTGCTTCACTTACATATCTTTATTTTAAGAATAAGCTGTATTACATTACATTACAGCCTACCTCCAGCGGATTTGCTTATAGTTTTGCGATAAACAAGTCTGCGAGTGCAACAAAAACGTGCGAAGGCTTTAAACTTTGCATGGCGATAAAATGAAGTATAATGCATCGGTCATTATGGATCTAGTTGTTCATGCTGTAGTTCAAAAGTTAAGCGTACAGTTCTACTTTACGCAAAATGGCAATGCTATGTTGAACAGGTACCTATTGTGAGAATATTTTAAAATTACATTTATAAAATAACATGTATATAACGCGTGCTCTGATTGGTCGAAACCCGTGTTTGGATCAGGCCATCCAAACACGGAAGACTATCGTGTTGTTGTTATTTTATAAAACAATTACTTTATGGTTTCCCTGTTAGGATGGCCTGATCCAAACACTTGGGAATGTTGCTCGAGTTAAGAAAAGCGTGCAAAATCACTCGCCTTCGGCTCGTGCTTTGCGGCGCTTTTCTTAACTCTCGCAACATTCCCGCGTGTTTGGATCAGGCCATCCAAACACGGAAACCATAAAGTAATTGTATAATATTCTAACTACTGATTCATGTATTTTAATAACTGCTTTTCTGTTTTTCATTAATCAATTCCTTAAACCTTAAACTCTAAGCGCGAAAAGTGCAATGGGAACGCTCTCCATCGTAAATCTTGGCTGTATGCACAACGTCTAGTGGAGATTGCTTTTACAAATTTAGTCGTTCTTTTCACATAACCAAGGATCTTGTTGGCTTTCGCGGCTGGTCTCTTAATTCGTGGTTGAAATGCTCGAGCTGAGTAGTGTTTTGCCTATGAAATATGAAGTCACGATTTTCTTGATATGGTTTGAACCTTGCATATTCTCTCGTTGAATTACATATCAGAAGAAGACCAGGCTTCGACATTGTTTAAGTCCTGTTGTTGAAGTGAGTTGTCTGTTATGTTGGATATATCCTTGAACAGTTGGTGTGGCAGCTACTGATGATGAAGTTACGACGTCTGGTAGATCATTGACGTAAATTAGGAAAATAATCGGTCCTGAGATCGATCCTTTTAGTACACCAGAAGTCACAGGCGTTGATCCAAGCACTGTAACCTGTTGTTGACGGTACGACTGGAACCAAGAAAGCAGGCTGTTATTGAATCCAAAACTACGCATCAATCAACTTGGAATGGTTTACCCTGTTGAATGCCTTAGACATGTCAAGGTAAACGATGTCTGTCTGCTCTCCTTGATCCAGATGCTTTCCAATCGTGCCTCTGGTTGTGTATTGCATGATTACGCAAAGCTATATTGACTAATTGACAACGTTAACGATATTTCGCACATGAACTCTGATGCGGATTAATATGCAACGTTCCAACAACTTTGAGACAATGCATAAGAAGGAGATTGATCTGTAATTTTCTACCCGTCCTCTTCGTCTCCTTTTTTAAATACTGTTGCAACGTTGGCTTCTTCTCACTCGTCTGGAACGACGCCGACCCGTAGATATTCATTGAACAGGAGGGTATAATTGATGGAGCAATTACACAAGCAGTTGTCTTCAGAACTCGTTCAGAGATTCCCTCTGGCTCCGAAGCTTTATTTTGATCGAGAGATTTAAGAGTGGCAAGAACTTCGCATTCAGACAGTATTAGTTCATTTAAGCCCGATTCTAAAAGTATATCATTGGTTGTCGCTGTAGTCGAGTAGTAATGACCTGAATGAAATCTTGTTCTTTAGTGAACATTGAAGCGAAGTATTAACTATTGAATATATTAGCGATAGTCTTGGGGATTTTGGCCACTTTGTCGTGGTTTTTAGTTGACCAGGATACAGCTTACTGGATACTGCTAGTTTAAGATTTTAATTTAATAAAACAGATTCCAAAAACATTTCGGGCTTAAGTACAAACTGTTCTCCAGACTGCTCAAGTACTGTTCACGACTTTCTCGTAAAAGTTGTTCAACTTGACTACTTTAGCTCGAAGTTTCTTGAATTTTTCCTGTAGGTCAGTAGAATGTAGGAGAACGAGCAAGTTTGCGATACAGTTTGTTATACAGTATATATATATACAATATATATATATATATATATATATACATTAAAGTAAAAAAAAAAAAAGTAAAAAAAAAAGTATAAAAAAAGTATATTTATAAGCAAGTAAGTAAGTAAGTAAGTTTATTTATATATTTTTTTTTTTGTATTTTTATTTATTTTTTTTATTTTATACTTTTTTTATAAGTATGAAAAAAGTATATTTCAATCTGGAGAACTTTAATTAATTATATATATATATATATATAAATATATATAATATATATATATTGAAAATGTTCTCGAGTGTATATTTCATAATTTCCAGACCGCGCGCAATGCAATATCTTTCTGCTTGAAAATTTCAAACATATTACTACAGAAACTTGTGGGAGTAATGGACGTTACCTAAGAACAAATTGATAAAATTTTGGTTGAATATAGATGAGAATTGGATGCGAAATCAGCAAAAGTTTGTCAGTCTTGCTTTGCCGGGCGGAGTAAACAGAATGCATATAATTGCCACATGCATAACTTAATTTGCTGGCGGAAGGTGTGCAGTTTTCGAGTGCCCTCTAGTTTAACATATAACTACCCCATGCACATAATTACTATTAATTTACATGTGGAAAGACTCTAGTTTAACATATAACTATACCCCATTACTGTTAATTTACATGTGGAAAGACTGATGAACTTTGGACTACATTCAGTCTACACTGGAGCGAAATAATGGTGGCAGAATTTACATGTGTTCACACACAAATTCAATTATAGCATATGTAAAGAAATTTAAACGAAAAGCATTCGAATTTACTGTTTTGAGAACACTTCGTACAACCTCAGACAAACTGAATGCTCTTATAAGTTGAAGTACACTAGAACTAAATTTGCAATGTCCTAAGATTTTCCTATTCAGTTTGCCGTGTCGTGATAATATATGCAATAACTTGACCTAAGCTCTGACATAGCTGATCATCAATTAATAAATTTAAACTACTTGTGCACATTACTTTGCAGTACTTAAAGTACTCTGTAGCTGTAGCTCATCACAACACTGGTGCGCACCCAATTCTGTTTATCATAAATACCTTGCATGTCTTGTGTCTGGAATGGATCTATCACTAGAAAGTTCATCGCTTGCTTTACGATTGAAACCATTTTCTTCAAACACATCTTGATGGATTTTTTTCCCATTAATATATTCTTTTTCATCAAAATTTATATTCTTTACACTGATTTTTATATTGCTTTGAGACTAAAAAGTAAACAAAATATTTTCATGAACTGAGCAGTTTCCCCTAGAGTGAAGCTGGCATCACTTCCCCCAATGACAAGCAAAGTTCTCTGGCATTAGGTATTCTATATTATGATAGTTAACCCATTCAGTGGCAGCATTCCTCCTTTGATGAATAAAATCATCTGGTGTTAGACAGAGTAAAATAATAAAGTAGGGTGTATCAGGGTACATGGGTGAAATCATTATTCACCCATTACTGGCCAACAGTTTCACTTTGGCAGATACTTGGTAAAACTGTCCAGCATTAGACAGAGCAAAATATCTAAACGTTGGGAGCATTAACACACACTGCAATGCTAGTAAGCAGTGAAGAATACTGGGGGGAGAGGCACCACCCCAATAATTTCCAAAAGCCTTTGAATGGCATCTGATTTATTGTGTAATAAAGCTGTAATAATTTTCCAACAAAGAAAGCTATGGCAAAGAAGTGAAATTAGGGTGGTAATATAGTGGCAACCTACCCCCCTTCCCCCCTCCCAATATTTTGCAACTGTATAAAGTAATTATTCAATGTACTTGAACTATCTTGATTAAACAGGTATAGATGTTTAAGATATGTTGACATTATGAAAATATGTTTGTGCATTTGTAACACTTTCAAATTTTTATGCTTGTTGTATTATCTAAATAAATTATAAATATCGATACATTTTAGGTAAACATATTTCAAAATAATAACACTTATTTTCAGTTTTTAATTTAAATCAACATGTCTAATATACAGAAAAATTAGAAACAACATTGTTCAATGAAATTGTTTACACAAAACTAAATAAAATATTCTCAAAAATTCAAACCATACCCCTAGACCACTGAGATTAGCTGTCTTCCGAAAACCATCCATAAAATACATTACAGAAATAAACCAAATCATTAAGAGCAAGAGATAAACAAGCCGCTTTCTCCGCCAAATCATTCTGAGTTTTTAGATAAAGTAAAGATAGACAAACTTCATTAAAAATTAAAAACAAGCATTATTTTTGTCCCATGTTTAATACTGTCCTCGTATTTTCAATGGCCCAGCGTGATACCCGTTCCTCCGCAGGCCTCTCTATGCTATGGGTTTTAGCCTGAGAATGGGTTCCTCAGGTGAGATGCCTGCGGAGGCCTGTGGCGATCACTGAGGTGGTGATACGTGGAAAATGGAAATATTGACAATAGACACGCGTGAGTCACACGAACACGAGGGATGAAGCAACCATAGCACAGGGACAGACCAGAGCCAACCTCCGTCGCAGAGCCAGTGGTGTGCATCGGATTGGTTGGCCTCGTTGAATCCGAAGTTTTGTCCATCCGAATTTTTTTATTATTAAAATCCGATCCTATGCTAAAAATCTATCAATTATCTATCACCAACAAAGAAACATAATTATGTATTCTTATGAAGAGTAATCCGTATGTAAAACATCAGCACAGATAATGGGAACATACAAGTCTGTCTTAAGTGCATGTAATCTTGTGCCAGACGTATTAAAATTGGTAGATTAATTCGGTTTTCGAGCGTTTAATGACGTTAAATAACAAAATCTGATACACATCCAGTGGGAAAATTTAGTCCAATTCGATCCAACGGAAAAACAACCAAAACCCGATCCAATAGAAAAAAAATCCAATCCGATTCGAACACGTAAAATTTTGTCCGAATCCGATCGGTTCGGATTCGCACATCTCTAACATTGAACTCAGAAAGGAAATCCTTCGATATCTCAGAATTTTACAATAAAACTAAACAATTCATACAAGTATAAACTTGCTGAATGGAAAATGCTTAGTATAGCACTTCATTACCACAGTTGATGCAGCACCATTACTTATTACAAGACAAATATGCAAAATATTAATATTTAATTAACCTATATAATATTGATACTGCACCTTTATTTATTACAAGACAAATATGCAAAATATTAATATTTAATTAACCTATATTGATACTGCACTTCACCATTATTTATTACAAGACAAATATGCAAAATACTAATATTTAACCTATATGGTAAAAATAAAATTGAATGAGTTGTTGTGACATTAGAGAGGTTCAGATTTTAGTACCGCTACCTCTCATCGGGTAGAATCAGTAAATGGATCTGATTGATTGGTACCTATCTAGTGTGTTAGATCATAGTTAATATCAGAGGTCAACATGGCTTTCTATTTTTCTTATGTCAATTTTTATAAGCCATTTATGTCATGTTGACTTCTGATAAGTTAACTGAATCTGGACTTTAAACAATTCTTCTACAATAGCAAAAAGCCATGACTTTATATTAAAGCCAACTACATAGGGCTTTTTCTAAAACGCTGTAGTCATTCTCCAGCTCTAACCATTCTCTAGCTCACTGACTCTACAATTACTTCAATGATGATGATGTGTTGCTGTCAAAATTAGTGGAAATATAATTCCCAGAACTAAAGGAAGTAAGTCACTTTTCTTCTGATGTTCATGTCCCTCAGCATCTGCCGTAGCTGTTGAGCTGTGAGCTATGTTTGTTGTTTCAGGTAAGACATGAACTGTCGCTACATAAAGAAATGTTCCTGCTGAGAACAGCATTGCCATGCCTGTCCCATTCACACTGGAAAATAATTCCTGCCCACTCTAAAATAAAAATATTGCTAGTTAGTATAATTACATAGGTGATTATTGACAATTCCCCACGCTGATTGGTTGCCGTTGAGGTGATTATAACGCGATAATCACCGAAGCCTTTTTGTCAATTAAATGACGAAGAAATGTGTATTTTAAATTTTTTCCTAAATAATCACCTATGAAATTATACTAAAACAATTATTCACCTCAGGCTCGGTGATTATCGTGAATAAAAACCTCGACTTCGTCTCGGTTTTCATCCACCGATAATCACCTCGCCTTCGGCGAATAATTGTTAATTAGAACATTGCTTTTGCAGATAAACAACACAATACATATAGATTATTAAATAAAGAGGTTTATTACGGGTCTTGGATGTCAGCTAAAATTCAAATCAATTGTCAACTATCATTTAAAGACTTAATTTGTATGATATCAGTTCTAAATTGCTTTTTTTGCTATTATTGGTCAAATATGACCAAAGTGTTTGAAAAATATCTGTTCACAAGCATTTCTTACCAGACTTAGAGATGTATATGTTAAAATTGCCAAGACTGGTGCAGCCATTGAGAATATAAATAAATGTTTTCTTATTCTATTCCGCTGCATTCCCTAAAGAGAAATACGATACAGTTACAGCCGAGTAGAAACTTTCAGATTACTTTTATATGATTGGTTGTGTTTACATGCAACAGTTTCTTAAAAGCATTATATAAGTTCATTCAGTACTTGCCTGTTGTAGCAAAAATGTTGTCAGTCCAAATGCCGCAGGAGCTTTATGTAACATAATTGCAAGAAAAACTATTATTTCCACTTCAGGTTTTGACGAGACTGCTGCAGCACCCATTGCAATACCATCAGCTACACAAGGCAAATTTATTCAATTATTAATAATATACATGAAAAAAATTCTCAGTTCTCATTGGCTAAGAGCAGTGCAATATTTTCAAAATACAGTAGTGTCAAAAAGTGAAAGAGTGTGAAAAACGAAATACAGTGCGAAAAGTGAAAATAATACAAAAAACCCAGACATTACAAGTGACAAAATTTTCTAATAAAATTCATGTTTATATTAAAATTGACTGCATGATTGTTTCAAGTACATTTATTAATAAGTAATAGTACAGTTTCTCATGGAATTTGGAAAAACATACACTCGTGAGTTTTCAAAGACTTAAAATTGCAGTCATCCTTCAGACTCGTGCAATTTTGATTGTCTTTGAAAAACTCACTCGTGGATGTTTTTACCAAATTGCACTCGAAACCATGCTAAGATATTCGTTGACATTGTTTCACACTCAACCTGCTGCATGGACGACCAATCCAATTGTTGCCGTAAAACTTCCACGATTCTGTCTTCCATTGCTCTCCACATCTGCAGAAAAGTTCACATTTGGTCAGGGAAACATCGTGACATATGTAGTTTAGTCTTGTGAATGACAGTATGGAAGTTTTAATACCTGCAGGTGCATGTGAGTGTCCTCCAGAACAATGATCAACCAAAAGCATAAACACAAAACCCAAACAGAGAGAAATACCAATAAGTGCATGAGGTTCCACTTCTGGAATCATGTTTGGTAAAAATCCACCAGTGCCTGTCGTCAGAGCTTCGCTTGTTGGTGTCACTGCATGTTCATGGTGATGTTCATGGTCTCATAAACGAAAGAAAGTTCAACACTTACTTATGGCATGTCTTAAAGTTCCTTAGTCTCAAATAACACACACTTCCAAGACAATGATTCAAAATAGAGGCCAGCAATGACATAACTAAATGTGACCACACTCTCACATTCAAGCCATGGGAGGATTTACTGGGGAGGTTAGGGGGGTTAACCCCCCCCCCCTAGAATCTCTGTAACCCCTCTAGTAAAGTGTTCAACTCCACCAAAATTTTGCTTCACCCCTCCTATTTTGTGCAAAATGTTTTAACTCAAATGCCTAACCCCTGTTAAAGCTGACTGAGTGGTGTTGCTTGCACCCCACTAGAAATTTTTCTACCCCTTCTTTTAAATAAATGAAAATCCACCCTTGGTTCAAGCTATTGTTTTTTTACTCATTTAGGAAGTTTTTATATCCATAGCAATATTTAAGTTATTTTTGATACTTACGATAACTGCCTTCTTCATACAATGCATTCACACCCTCAGGAATAATTACAGCAAGCGCTGTACCAACTAACAACCCAGAACCAAGAACTGTTACCATATGAAGTTTGGACTGAAATGAAAACATGATTGAACGTCTTAATCGGTTGCAAATAATGCAATGTGCCCTATTTTGGTATCCTATGGCAGGGCTTCAAATTTCCAGCAGTATCCAACAGGATACTAACAACTTAAAATCTAGTATCCCACATTTGAATAATAAATTATTTTTGTACTGTGACCAGAAGTTTTTTTCAGTATCGCTCAGGATACTAAGCTTGTGATTTCCAGTATCCAAATTTAAAATCTGGTATATCACCTGGATACTGGGATACTGCAAATTTGAAGCCCTGCTATGGCAACATGTCAGGTGATTTTACTCATCCATAGGTTCACTATGTTACAATCTGTTATTGGAACAATTTCTGACATGTCTGATCAACCTTGTCACTGGTTGTCATGAAATTGTCAGCTATTTGTCAATGACAAGTCGTAGACACTACTACCAACCTGCAAGAAAAGCTATTCCCATCACAGTAGCATTATGACCCCTTCAAATGAACCATTCACAATTTTAATAATAGCAATGTAATATTATGTTTGTGATGTTACAGCTAGCCCGGTGTGAATGCACACTCAGAGTAACATCACAAACATCATATTCACCTGAGTACATACACCAACACACACAAAAGTAAAAAATAATAAAAAAAGTAAATATTTATAGCACATGAAAAAATATATATCAAGATATTACAGTATTTCTCTATACCGGTACCTTACCAAAATATGGTATTATTATTTCACAGTATATAGTTATTATAAAATCTACATACAAGTCAGGATATGAACGTGAAAACGTGACTAACCTCAGATAACGTTATTGACAAAGGCAGCATACCCGCTATATAACACCCCGTCAACATCGCAAACGACAGAGACAAGATACCCGTAAAGTGATCCATTACTTCACGGTACAATTTTACGGCTCATGAGATATGAAAATGATTTAATAATCATCTAATTTTCATTTTTTGTCACACTTTTCCAACACAACTGAATTGCCACGTCTTTTTAACAACTTTTGAGCGATGGAAAAGAATACGATTGAGCCTGCGGTTGATCAGTGTTTTCAAAAATTAATGCAAATAAATACTTTATGTTACATATAATGAAGTGGCTTTATCTTTCACATAAAACTAGGTACGCCCCGCGTACATGATATAAGCTGTAACATAATTAATCTAGTCCTTGAAACGGTTGAAAAAGATATTATTTGATGCCACAAATACAGTTCGAGACATTAGATATATGATTTTTAAAATATATTTCTTTCACAATGTAATTGTCATAAATCTAATTTTCAATATATACATGTACATTCTTTTATGATAAAATTATAATTTCAATATAACCTAAATCATTGTAATCAGTTGTGTAGTTTGTCACAGATATCGTTTGTTTTCTTGTGAAATAGAAAGTCACTGAAACGAACCGTACAGACGGTTTGATTCAAAACACACACGCACATAGTTAGATATGGGTTTGAATTGAAACAAGTGATAAATCAAAGCAGAAAATCAAAATCAAAGCAGAAATCAAAGCAAAAAGTCAAAATCATTTTGTAAATCTGAGTAAATGTGACCAAAACATCTCGAGGTGTCGTTGAATTCGAGTTGTATCCAAAAATCACACTTGGAAATTTTATGCGTTCTTGACAAAATTGTATGATAGTTTTAATTTCCTATAATTTTCTCTTAAAAACACGACTCTACAGGACCAATTAATCCAATGGGAAATGTTTTAACATGTCTTGACCATTGAGGTGAGAGACTGAAGAATTTTACACCATCCCACGTCACCCCGTCGATTACAACTAAAAGAAGAACATAGTGAGGTAGTTTGTAAAGCGACACAAGCTGACACTCGTATTCCCAATTCACGGTTAAACACATACTGAAAATCTTACCGTTTAAAGAATCACTCTGACTTTTGGACGTACAAACAAGTTTGGTAACATTAGCAACAATCATTCCCTTGCTGTCAGATTCTCGTTCTTTCGACTTCTTACCACGCATCATTGCCTCGAACGCTGACTTCGCGTGCACTGAAGAAAACGAAACGTAATAATACTTTGAGATCGCCAGAGATGAAAGGAGAACATTGACAGGAACGGCAACAAATGTGGAATTTCAGTGATGGTACTATTCAATGATAAACGTTCCTCTACATGTTTACATTTTTCAAGTAGTTCTGACGAAAACAAAGACAGTTTACAATAAATGTAAATGAGAATACCTTTTCTTAAGTTTTGTTCTTTTGTTGTTGCAACCATCTGTAACGTCCCTGGTTCTTCAATATTATTATGTCTACTCACTACTAAAGACTTGAACGCCGTCTTCAACGTTGACTGCAAAGAAAAGTTACAACTTCTGCCTTCAAGATCGGCTTATAGTTAAATTCTACCTCAGAAACTTAATTTTAATACTTTCAACTAATCATTCTACGGAATTTAGTTTAATATTATCTGTGTACCCATTTTATTGATATCTTGTATTTAGTATTTTATCTTAGATAATGAATGAATAGTCACAATATTTGTGGATGTCGTCAAGAAATTCGTTATTATTCTTAGATTTTAAAAACGTTTACCGAATACCAATTGCAACAAACTGTACCCAGTCCCTCGCAGTCCCTACCCTCCCCAGTTTACAATTGCCATCTAGTTTTTACCTTACTACTTTCCTTCTTGCCTCCAGTCGTCCAATAGTCAACTTGTAAGTCCATCACTTCATTACAAGGCAGCGCAGTTTGAGCATTGCTTTCCCTAGGAAAGAAATTTATCAGGAAGTTGATCAGCAGCTTTCTGCTGTTATTGTCACTATATACGCTGGCAGAGACCGTTCGAGTTTATATCAACTTTAACACAGAATATCCTTGTGCTACGGTATATGTAGAACATTCCAATAACTGGATCACGACTGGATGGCACTATTGTTATAGCAAGTTTTATGGTAAGGGCCTTGGCTCCTCCAAATCACAATTGAACATGTAAAACATACTTGTTAGCAGCTGACCCCAGTTTCGTCTCATTAGGTGGACTGGCACTAGTGATGTTTGTCGTTTGAGTTGAATCTTTGACGTGAGTGATTTGTGATGTTCCTGGAGATGTAGTATTTCCATTCACAATGTCTTCAGTTTCACCTGCAAAGCGAAACAAAGATATACTCATGTACATCTTACAATACTCGTGCTTTTTGTACACGGAAACGTAGGAATTTGACATGTTAAACCTTCAAACACAAATTTAGTCTAGGGCAAAGGAACCCATGATACTTACCTAATTCAACACATCCAATTCTTACCATCTAAAACAATAAACAATATTGTAATACGCAAAATATTTCAGTGAGTGATACACATTGTTGAAGGGATTTTTATACATTTATTCTGTGATTACTTACTCCGACAAATGGTATGAATCTTGAAGAATCATCGTCAGAGCCATGTCTGTTGATGAGAGCTTCGGCAATGGGAAGATGATGTGTAACACTTGCTCCTTTCACATACGTATTAATACGTTGATTCACAGTTTCAAAATCTACATAACACATAAAAAAAAAGTTGCTAGTTTTTTCAAGCTAACACAAACCTACACATATATCTTAAACAAACCTGCATTAGAATCAGGTTTTTCAAACACATCCCTCCAAACACTATCCATGAACAACGAGCTGTATGTTGAATCGACATGTGAGATGTATTTCCCCACTGAATGATTGCTTTCTGAAATAACAAGAACGGCAAGCGGAATAAGAAAAGGCCGGTTCAAACTGTCATGTGATCAACTGCCCCGTACATATTCATAGGTGCCTACCTAGCGGAATGACAAGAAATCTAACATAACTTTGCCACATTGGTTTGGATGAGAACTGTTCAACAAAGGGTCGTAAAACAACGCCAATATATCCTTCAGTTCCAGCAATGGCGATCTTCAGACATGGAGGAGGGATGGAATGATTATGACAGCTGAAATAAGACATGGAATTTTAGCAGTGGAAAATTTGTCTTAATAAAAGCATGCATAAAATCATTACTTACAATTTTTGATACTTGACTAAAATTGCGGCAATCGCATCCTGCACTTCATTGTCAGAATTCGTACAAATAATTCTTGATTGCTTTCCTTTCAACTTCAGTGCCAGCAACTAAATAAGATAAAAGTTACTTTAAACTTGGCGTACATATTATATACTATACTTTAGTTAATTACGTTATATATAATACTATATATAATTTTGCAAACAGCTTTTAAATTTCTTTATATGTATACTTTTGTACACGCCCCTCGTGGGAATCAGCTTCGGTTGACGGGGTCAGCGTGTTTAAATAAAGTGTGAGGAAACACTCACGTCATGTTGTTGAATAGTGTTAGAGAAACCTTCCCTCTTACCTGTCCTTGCCATTCAGAAGTATCAACCATCAATATACTAGGTGGTAATTGATCGTCTGAAGGAAAACATGCAGAGAGTTGCTCTGAGACCGTACTCTTCGGAACATCCTGAAGAAGAGGAAATTAAGGTAATATAAGAAACATAAGAAAGATTCAGATTGAACACTAGTACTACCTCTCACTGTCTTAATGCGTAAGAATTTGGCTGGCTAATCGGGTTAATTACACGCATCTGATTGGTTAAGTAGCGGGTAGCGGACGTTAAAATCCGAACCTCTCCATAATTTTAGCAGAGGAACGGCAAACATAGCAAGATTAATGATTTTCGATCGTCTGCGAAGATGCAACAATTGTGGAATTAAATAAATAAGAAAAAAACCCTAATATTCGTAAAGCTTCAACTTTACCTGTATCTCCAAGTCGCTCTTTCTTCTTTCCAATTTGACTTTATTCTTATTCTTGCGTTCCTTGACAGATAAACTTCGTCGTGTTTTATTGCTTCCATCTTTCAACTTCTGTAGTTGAGTGTGAGTGAGAGGCGTGTCTGAATGAGCCGCAGGGGAGTCAGAGTGGCGTTCGGAATCAGAGTGTGGCGATGTGACCTCCTAAGGAAAGAAAGATATTCGAATATTTATAATTGCAAAGCTTTCCATCCGTAAGTGTGGATCTTTACAAGTGCTAATAATCCTGTATTACGAATCAAATGCTTTACGTTGTCCTCCACAAACCAAAACATGAAAACATTCAAAGACTGGCACTACCTACACTGGCAGAGACAGTTCAAGATTAGAAGAAGATACTCTGTTCAAAAGTTGTGCGAATTTTCAGGATGAATCGAACATTATCTGGCAGAGAAAAGCAAATTACTGAGGAGAGGACCTTCGCTGTATATACACTTGGGATCTCTGTGTACACACAGTGGACCCATGTGTATGTACACAGTGGATGTATGTGTACACACACTGGATCTCTGTGTACACACAGTGGATGTACAGTATGTGTACACACAGTGGACGTATGTGTACACACAGTGGATCTCTGTGTACACACAGTGGACCCATGTGTATGTACACAGTGGATATATGTGTACACACACTGGATCTCTGTGTACACACAGTGGATGTACAGTATGTGTACACACAGTGGACGTATGTGTACACACAGTGGATCTCTGTGTACACACAGTGGACCCATGTGTATGTACACAGTGGATATATGTGTACACACACTGGATCTCTGTGTACACACAGTGGATGTACAGTATGTGTACACACAGTGGACGTATGTGTACACACAGTGGATCTCTGTGTACACACAGTGGACCCATGTGTATGTACACAGTGGATGTATGTGTACACACACTGGATCTCTGTGTACACACAGTGGATCCATGTGTATGTACACAGTGGATGTATGTGTACACACACTGGATCTATGTTTTATCCAGTGAAGTGATGGTTTTACCTGACTGGGATGTTCGGTTTCCGTCGATTCTTCACTATCAAACCTCGTCATATTTTTCACGCCTTTTCCTGATTTCTGCAAACATCAATATTTATCAAATCTTTAGTTATTTGTCAACTAACAAGTTAGAAAAGCAACAAAACAAAACTGAGGAGGATTAGTAAAATGTCGTTTCCTACCAGTTTTTTCTCCACGTACATGCTATCAACAGAGGCAGCTCGGTCGAAGTATGGCCTTAAAAACAGACCAGTTGTTGTTAGAGAGTAGTAATAAATATATATGACGATTTAATATTTAATAGGTAGTTCATGCACAAACAACAGCAGCTTCTCAGAGACTATTTCTTCTACTGGACGCCATGTTTCATACCTGAGTTTAGGTTTATCCTGTGATTTGATACTTGCATTATCTCCCAGTTCCACGTCACTATCTGCATCACTATCATATAACTCCAGATCTTCAGGGTAGATGACGTCATCAGCCAGTTCATCCCCTCCCTCAGCCTCACGCGGGCTGCTCTCACCAAATACCTGCAACACCCGACAATTAGTGCTTCACCTTTTTTACTGTTCATAAATATTTTATGTTCCAGTGCTCTATTATACATAATTATTCTAGTGTCATTTTTTCTCGTTCTTTTGTTCCTTTGTTTACACTTCTGTTATTATATTGTTCATCTTTATTTATTCTATTGTTCATATTTATTGTTCTATTGTTCACAGATCTATTAATTTATACTATTGTTCATGTTTAATTGTTCTATTGTTCATGTTTATTGTTCTATTGTTCACAGATCTATTAATTTATACTATTGTTCATGTTTAATTGTTCTATTGTTCATGTTTATTGTTCTATTGTTCACGTTTTTTGTTCTATTGTTCACGTTTACTGTTCTACTATTCACAGATGTATTATTCTATTGTTCCTGTTTAATTGTTCTATTGTTATCGTTCACAAACCTCTTCTTCTGGAACTCTGAACTTCTTGAGAAGCGCAATAAATTTCTTCTTAAACTTTATCTGATTCTATATCGTGTATAATGCGAAAAAGTAATATAGAAATATTACAAGTTGAATATTCCGTAGAAGTGTTCAGTAATATCTTACCGGTCTAAACTTTACTTTTCTTCCTTTCGTTGACGGGCCCAGCATATCCTAAATATAGACAATAGAGCCTGTTCACTATGGAAATTTGGAAACAAATGACTCAGGAATGTTTCAAGGACGTTGTGCAAGCAAAACCAACAAACAGCCCAACATACTTGAACAGCAGGTTCCATTTCTCCTGCGCTGTCAGAACCTTCAGAACTGTAAGAATCGTCTTCCTCGTCACTGGAATTATCTTCTAAAGCTCGATCTACGATAAAGAGAATGTCATTTTCCAGTCAGAGGTAAGGCAGGGGCTGGCAAAAATTACCAAGTTAAATACTCCACGAAGCTTACCGGAATTGCGTTGAGGTAGTTCGCGATCCAAATCATTTTCAACTGGTTGGCTGAATAACAGACAAAAATGAAAAGAATGATCCAGAAGTTCGTAAAAAGATTTTAACGATCTAAGAGCAACTTATAGTGCATATACCTTGTTAAGTTAGTCATAGTAACAGTCGCCAGAATTGTTGAATCTCCTTTCATGTGCATATGTAATGGTCGTTTGGCACTCACTGGATACTGCAAGATCTGAAAGATATCGTGTCTCAGTTTATACCGAACCTCAACGGAAATATTACCTTCAAGTACTATCCCTAAATTGATCATACCTCAGACAAGTTAACAAGCCCCACAGCCAAGGTTTTAAACCCAAGTATAGCTCTTGTTTTATATCGTTTTCTTCTTTGAATCATTATCTGGACGTTGTTTCGACTTCGCTTCAAGAAATGCGGGTACTGGAGAAGAGGAAAAACGTTTTATTGGCGGGGCAGCCGATAGGGAGGGGGGTCAGGGTGGCACTTTTCCGCGGGTCTCCAATTTAAAATGGGCTCCAAAGCAACGAAGGCCCTTACAATTTCTTGATACAAGATTGCTTAACCAAGAAAATAAATCCTATCTGCGTTAGTGTCGGATAATATGCAAATAATTCAGAATGACGACGTCATGGGGCTGAGAAAGTTTTGCCCCAGGGCCCGCGCAACCTCTCGGCGGTACTGCTTTTTGGTACATGTAGTGATGTTCACAGGATGTGAGACTCACCTGCAGGGAGAATGAGAGATCAACATCAGTATCAATCAATCCAGATGAAGGCAAACTGATTTCATTTGAACGAAGCACTCTCCTTGATCCCTGCAGAACAAACACGAAACACTGAATAAATCAGAATAAATTACATTCATTTAAATGGTGCGATCTGGAACGAACTTGCATTTAGAACTCAATTATAACGCAATTTGGACGCGTTTGGTACACAATTACGACACATTTCCGACACATTCAGAATGCATTTCGGGCGTACATGGAGAGTAATTAGATCCAGGATTGGAACGCATTTCGAACGCGCTTGGAACGCAATTACGACGCGCTCAGTATGCAATTAATAATAACTAGAGCGAGATATAAAACTTGCCTGCATTGAAACAGAAATCACGACATCATTCAGACTGGTCTCCATCTTTTTCATGATTTGAAGGCGAGTTAATTTCACAGAAAATAACCTAGGACATAGAAAATAGGACATACAAAATACATTAGGAGTTACTTTACATTTAATAGTTTTATTTTTATTTCAATCAGCATTATAGCTCACTGACATGTTGAAGGAATAACATCATTGTTTTGGAATACTGCAAGCAATAACGAAAAATTCCTTGTCTAGATTTGCATCTTCGTGTTTTTAGATCACCGCTCTACACATCCAGCTTATATCTTATCACTGACAGATTAACTGAAGATTGGATTGAATAGTTTCGTTTTAATGCTATTTTCATTGCAGACGAATGTGTGGAAATTGGTAAAGAAATCCCTTTTGAGATATTAATCTCTTAATCCGTTAGTTCATCTTCACAGGAAATCACCGTAGAGCACAGGAAAGTATTTTGCCATAAGTTAAAAAAGATAAATGCAGAGCTAGCTTTATTATTATTATTATTATTATTATTATTATTATTATTAAGCCTTTCATATCTTGTATTACCGCAAGTATTTGGAAATGAAACGATATGCAGCATCGTTCAAACTAGAGATATTTAAAGTCTATTTTCTTAAAGTATTTGTAAACAATCATTTCATATATGAACTCACACAGATTGTCAAAGGTAAATAAAATAGCAAAGATATAACTGCTATATCTAACTCAGATCTGCCTTCCAAGCCGGTTAAAAACAATATATATATACCTGCATTGTATATTATACTCTCCCTTGATGGAATAAGATTGTGAAAGTCGTTTATTATTGATCGCCATATTTCACCTTACATGATTTTATTGTTTATTGAATAGTGATACAACGACGGTATGAAGATAGGAATACATTCACTTTTAAACGAACAATTACATGGTGAAAAAGACGCTACCAATTGTTACATTCGCTGGATTTGAATAAATTGCAACATGTTTTATTGATCATGGGTATGTTTTGGTTGGGCACAAAGTGAGTAGCGCATGATAATCTATGCAAGGCAGAAGGTCAACACAAGAACACCTGCCTTGCACAAGTCAAAATTCATCTGCCTAGATTGAAAATACGTTCAGATCATTTCAAAATTATTCAAAACTGTTAATGACAGTATACAACGTGTATATACATTTCTTCGAAGCAAACGTCACAGTTGTAGAGCACTGGCGCAAACACAGCCAAGTATCGGGCCGTCCCAGCGATGCTTCTCTCAAAAAAGTTCTACTTATACGTTCTAAAGCTGTAATTAATAGGGATTTGCACCACATGAATAATGAAATGTAAGAAATAATTCATGAGAATAGATATTTGAAATTGATTAAATATATTTTATCATCAAAATAACGTGCACGTTTTAAGAAAAGTTTTTTCTTATTTCTTACAGTAAGGACAAGTTTGCCAGATGGAAAAATAGAAAGGATGTGATCGGATTATTTTATACAACCATGAATTAATTATCAACATTCAATTATATCTCACACAAGAAAGAAGTATTTTGTAACAGCAGCAGCCGCCAGTGAAAGACAGTATACACTACAATACATTCATGATATGACGCCATATACAGAGAATAATCTCGTCTATATTAAGTCTAAGGTCTGAGCGCGACGTTGCTATCGATGTAGTCCTGGAATAACTGTCCTTTCAAACACGTGACCTTTTCATCCAAACACGTAACTTTTTAATTTCAATACGTAACGGATTGATATGATGTCGACACGTGAATGTTGCAAAATGATATTTGCGTGTACCTTCATAGGCAGCCCAAGTAGACTCGATGCATTTTAACACTCATTTTTGGGCTGCTATGGTAACTTTAAAAAATACACGTCTTTATCAAATAACAAAACCAAAACATAGCCGTACAAGCAGTGGGTACGTGTTCATTAACTAATGCTGGGTCTTAAATTTGTTATCAGAATTTTACCAAACTCAAAACCCAAAACTTCTTCTCGAAAATCATTTGGCATACGACAGAGTGCATTAGGGCATATGCAGTTCATGAATTCAGGCCTTAAAATATCGGTCGGTCACGGACATTGTCCGACCCATTCGTGAAATTGTCCGACGTAGAGAGGAAGCCACCGGACATTCTGTCCGACCAAAGTGAAACTGAGGTTTATTGTTTGTCCGACCCGAGTGTATTGGTGTCCGACCGACCTGTAGCTTTATCCTACGTAAATCAAAATGTACCCTAGCCCAGGACTAGAGGCTTGTGTGTTAAATGGAAAATCAGAGTACTATTGTGTAAAAGGTGAACTGGAAATGTTGTTTTAACGTAGTCGAGCGCGGGGCGGCGACCGAAATGGTGAAGTGGAAAACGGTCTTAAGCTGCCAAGTCTTTTTTAATATTGCTGTTCTGGCAAGCAAGTTAATTTTGGCTTGGAAATAAGTATGAAAGAAACAAATTATTTAATATCTTTACAACATTTACTGTTTATTAATTTGTGTCATTCAGACTTATTTCCGAGTCAAAACTGAATTGAAGGTCATCGGACATATGTCCGACCCAAACTCAACGTCACCGGACATTTTGTCAGACGGCTCTGGAAAAGATATTTTAAGGCCTGTGAATTAACAAAGGCATGAGCAGAGTCTGGTTAGCCATTAGCATCAATTTGCTTGCATTAACTGAATAAAAAAATAGATTATGTCTGGCTAATCCATTAACCCCCAATACTTTCCCTTGCCTTTGGTGAGAAAATCTCTCAGTAAAATAACAATGTAAGGTTCAATAGGGTCATGGATACCTGAAATGGGTTCTTATCTACAAAGCCATGAAGAGACAATAAACATTGTTCTTCCGTTTGTTGAGTAGACAATAAGTCAATAGACCAGAAAAACATGTCACTTACTCTATTATACTGTACATTTACAATAACAAGCAAAAAAGATATAATATGTTAAAGAGCACATCTCAATCTGGAAACACATTGAAATATTTGAAATTTGAATAATGTTTACAAATAAAACTCATCAAAGCATTCAATTGAATGGGAAATTATGCAAACAGATTGCAGCAAGCTGGTTTGCCATTTACTTTAGTTTAGGTGTATGCCTTAGTCTCACGACTAAGACTCTCACAGATTGTATGTGATGAAACAGGATGCATTTGCAATCATCAGTTGACATGGAGAAATTCTGGGGTTAACCATGAGGAAATGATGCAGAATTCAATTCACAATTATATTATTTATTATTCCAAAAACATCAAATTATAATTGTTAATTTTTTGAATATATTAGTGAAGACTTTCAAGATGTCTGCTAGGTAGTGACAGCAATCCAGTCTGGAGATTATAGTGTATCAATCATGACGTCCGGAGATTATAGTGTATCAATCCAGTCCGGAGATTATAGTGTATCAATCCAGTCTGGAGATTATAGTGTATCAATCCAGTCCGGAGATTATAGTGTATCAATCCAGTCCGGAGATTATAGTGTATCAATCATGGTCCGGAGATTATAGTGTATCAATCATCGTCTGGAGGCAGTTGCAACAAACTGAAAATTAAGAACAAACTTCAATATTTCAAGTGGATTAGAGCACTTTTGATGTCAAAGTTTGCCCTTTTACAGGATTCAGACTTGCTTGAAATTCCAAATTCCTTGAATCTTGGGACTTATAAATTACCAAAATAACTCATTTATTTTTCTTTAATATTTAAAAATGTAGTAAACCTTTCAATTCCATAAACTGTTTACTTTATTCACTTTTGTTTATTAGTTTTATTGTGTTTAGAAGTAATTTAGTCATATTTATATTCGTGTCAGAATTTTTCTGGTCAATTCTGAACAGGAAAATGATTAGAATTGTGTTCCAGGTTGAATGTTGACAAGTCCCTATTCAGAGTTAGCATATGTTGTCATTCACACTATAGTACATCAAAGAAATAGGATGTACTGTGAATTGTATTTCTCACACACTGCTGGAAGCTGCTGCAGCCATTCTGCTGCAAAACCCTTGACATATATTTAAACACCAACAGCTAATACAGCTAGTCAAGCTTGCAGAAACAACATGTGCTAGCTTATAATTGGGCCACAGAGTAGATACATACAGAGGTGGAACTGGCCGTCGTAAACACTGCAGAAAATTACGTTTTCATGTACCCACTTTTTTCAGGCGGCTGGGCAAAAAATGACCAACTGCGCATGCTCGGCAAGTTCCACAAGCAGTTAAAGCAAGCCTCCATCCAATGGGGATGCATCTAATAACTTGCCAAGCATGCGCACAAAAAAGTGGGTACACTAGTTATAATTCTGTATTTGTATCTACTCTGTGATTGGGCTCCCAGCCTAGCTTGTGTGAAAAAACATTTTCTGCTTCTTTCGTACATCAATACACCCATTATTCAAGATTCAATCATAGTGTCAGGATTTCTTTATCTGCATGTGCGTTTTATTGATTATTGACTCTGATGCAGAAAGCATGATGCAAGCTTGCTTGTGTAGGTATTGAAATAATGATTGAAAAAACTTGAGGCTATTTGCTCAAGACTGTCAGTCCTCATAAAATAGATTATGTTGACAATATTTATCAGCTTTCAACTAGCTGTTCCTTTGTTTTATCCATCTGTACTTGTGTTTTGATTAAGTTAATATTAATATGTTAACTGAAAATGAAGATGTTAAAAGTCGATCGGGCCTCCAATTTTCATAAAAGTGTGGGAACACTTAATTTTAACATTTAAAAACACCTTTTCTACAACATACGCCATTATACGGTACATATTAAACGGCATGAAATATTTAGATAATATTTCAACTCCATTTTATAGTATGTAAACGATAAAGATGGATAAACACTGAACAAATCATTTCCGACATATATAAACATTACATTATACCAACACCTTGAACCAAATATATTATCGCCTTATTTTTACCGACAGCTAAACATCACAAAACTGTCTTTTCTTTCTCTTTAATGAAGCGAAACTAATGTAATCAGTATTTCTTATTTCAAAAACCTGCTAAGATCACAATGTCATATAAATGTTCAAACCACATTCAAACCACATCTTAATTATGAACACTCACCGTGGCACACAGCTTGAAGAACTGCTTTCAACTTCCCAAGAAGCGAACAATTTCATTGACAAGGGTCTTGATGGCGACATGCTTGTATTTTGTCCACTTTCTTGCCGTACTTTGTAGTTTATTTCCGCCATTTCGCCTCCAATATCGGAACTGTCAGTGCTCAGCCTTTCATTGTTGTCATCACGTCTCGTACTCTCGCTTGAAGAACTCATTTCCGGTCGGGTGATAGCACTGGTTAATAACAATAATTATTACCTTCGTTACTCTGTTAATTAGTTCTCACATTGACAAGTCAGTCATGTCTTGAATTTGGGACAAAATGCAACATTCATACCCTGGCAAACAATTTAATGACTTTTTTTGTAAAATATACTTTTTCTTTTTTATTATAACAAATATTTTTCTGAACTAAATTTCAGACCCGCTCGTTCTACACTGCGTCGTACAAGTTTAAAATATTCTGTGCTTTCTTCAATATTTTTCTGACAAATTTAAAAAATAAAGCTATCCTTGTTTTTAAAAAAACAACTGGTTTAAACATGTGACTGGGTGTGGTTAACAGGTACCGCTGCTTATCTAGGGAGGGCATGGATACTGCTCAACCTTTTGACGAGAAATTTGGAAAAGTGAAGCATTCAGAAGGTCTTACTGTAAAAGTCTCCTCCAACCTGGCGAAAGATGGGACGAAAGTTTTCCAAAAATCCAAATGACAATACTGCAATACATGTAAGGCATGTATGGCTTTCATTTCGACCAAAATGCGGAAACACAAAATAAACTTTTATGAGTAAATAGACTTTTAACAACAGTATGTAATGGAAATAAACAGTGATTCATAATGCTAAAATAATCGATAAAATAATCGATGAAATAATCATGGCACTTGGAAATAATTATTGAATGCAACGGTATTGAAAGCCGCAGTTTTAATAAATACGGAAATTGTTTCATCACAAGTGGAAGTCTCTGTATGCAAAAGAAATACGAAACGTTTTACAGTAAAACATTGTTTGAAACACGTGCCGAAAGAATGGTGTCAAACTTGTTATTTTTAAACTTTCTCTTATATTTTCTACCTTCTGTTACTCAAGCTACATTATGTGAAGATATAAGTGGTCGCTGGGTCAATACGCTGGGTTCAGAGGTGGTTATAGATCATTTACAGAGTGGGGTATTACGTGGAAAATATTACACGGCAGTGAGTTCGACACGTGGGGAACTCCCTGGTCATGAGATAGTTGGTAGGTTGTTTTAACCAAACTAAAGTCAGCAATAATCCTCGCATTAACTAGTTTAGTGGAACTTCTCAGATTTACGATTTTTTTTATATTTGAAGCCCCCGACTGTAAAGTTTTGGCTTTGGAGGAAACCATTTTCCTGCGCAAAAATTCTTGCTATATATGTAAATCTGCGCAAAATTCCTCAATTGTAAAATACTGCAAATAATTTCTGACACATCTGCACAAAAATTACCTGTGCAAAATAAAACTTTTCAGTCAATTAACACAAGTGAAAAGTAGATATACTAACTTGGTGCTACATTATGCACCTATCAATGTTAACCCCGAGGGAGGGGGGGTCGGGCAAGGGGAGTGGGGCGGGCAAGGGGTGGGGATTTGACATTTTTACAAAAAAAAATGTCAAATGCCACTCCCTCAGGAGAACATTCCTGGGCAAAATTCCCCACCCCAGGATGAAATTGTATTCCTGAAGTATTTGGTTTCTGGTGCACTCTATATGTCAGGTGATAGGGAAATTACACAAATACATTTGGCGGTATAATTTAAAAGTATAACAAATATAAAGAACGTTTCAAAATAACTTAAAATACTCATTAATAATTCATATACCTTGCGGCAAATCATGTCAGCCATATTATGTCACGTGAAGTGAGTTTATAATATCTGATAAAACACTAGCCTGTGTTCCAGTCCGCTACACCACGGTGTAATAGACTGGAACACAGGCTAATAAAACACAGTATTCTTATATAATTATATTGTCAGTATCTTATATAATTGTTTGCCCTAATTAGTATTCTTTTGTAGTTGTATTTTAAGTTGTGCGCCTCGCGTTTGATATCTGATAAAACACACTCTTACTTGTGTTTTAAATAGTACATAATGTGAACTTTTAACATATAAGTATAAATCGATATTAATATAATTATAAAATGGCTTATAGGTGTTTATTTCTTGTCCAGAAATCTCCATATTTCTTGTAAAAACAACACGCGAGACAGCGAGCGATAAACTAGTGCCCAGTCTTCAGTTTGTTCCCGACTCTTCCACAGTCCCTCGTTACATTTTAGTGCGGGAGGATATGCCCGTTCGCGGGTTAGGCATTGACAGCTACAACGCGGGCGACTGGGGACGAGTCAGAGTTTGTTCTAAAATTGGCTCAGGTTTCTTCAGTATATCGTCCGACATCAGTGTTAATCTGTCAAAAATCCCAACCCTGGGCCACTTAGAAAAAAATCCCCCCCTTTGCCCGACCCCCCCCCCTCGGGGTTAACATTGATAGGTGCATTAAAAAAGAGTTATCCATGCTATCAAGGACTATTAACATAAGTTTTTTTCTCCTAGGAACATTACCATACAACAAGCCAGGCTCTTCATTTGCATTTTCCGTCACATGGAATAATGGAAGTTCAACAACTGTGTGGACAGGACAATGTTTAGTGTGTAATGGCAAAGCAACATTAGAAACGACTTGGCTTTTAAGATCTTTTGTTAATTCTTGTATTGACAAATGGAAGTCTACATGTATAGGTAGCTTTACAACATTTTAAAAATCTTTGTCAGATAGTTCAACACAAACCACGACACAAGGTGTTAGCCAGGATTTCAAAAGTGGCCGTCCAAAATAATTTTGTGGGTGCGGCAACATATTTTTGTGGGCATGGTCACATGTTTTTGGGTGTGGCCGCAATTTCCTGTTGTTGAGGAATTGTGTTGTTTTATTCGTTGAACCACAGTTAATAGACCTAGACGTTGAACCATTCTACTTTTAGTTTTAGATGCACATTTCCGCCATTAAATTAGTAAAAGCACCGACATATTGTATGATCACTACCGTATCTGTAACGTGGCACTCGAGCGATAAAGCGATTGCTGTTTTTTAAAACAGCGGTTTCACATTATTCTCCTTGATACTTCATGCGAGAATCATCAAAATGGTTACAAAAACATGGCGCGTTTTACAAAAATATGGCGCGAAGTATTCAAGAAATATTACAAAGCTTGTAGGTTGCTATTTAAAGAAAATATTCCCTTAGGCCGTCCATGGCCGTCCATTAAAATTTAGCCGTCCAAATTCAGAAGTGGCCGTCCATAGGACGGTTGGACGGCTGCCTGGCTAACACCCTGCCATGACATATTATTGTACAATACTACCAACACTGAACCACCATGTTTGAGATATTTTAGGTAGTCTGGGTCATGCTTTCTAACTTGTTTATCGCAAAAATTTATAGGAAAAGATGTCTTTGAATGGAAGCTAACAACAGAGAAGGGTATTCCTAATCAAAATTTAGAAACACCACATAAATCTACAGTATCTAAGTGTGATCTACATGGCATTTGGTATAACAATGTTGGTTCTGAAGTTATCTTGAACCAAACAGAATATGGAGTAATCAGTGGTGAATATCGTACTGCAGTTGAACGAGAGAAAGGCAGTGCTGGTGCAACTCACTCACTTGTTTACGGCTCCAGTGCTTATGGTAATCCAAATACAACATTTTCCTTGATAGTTGTGTGGAGAGGTGGCGCATCTGTGACAGGTTGGATTGGACAGCGTCATATTTGTGAGAACAATACAGCTATACTGGAAATGAGTTGGTTATTAAGAAGTAAGGTTGATAGTTGTGATGATGTCTGGAAATCGACAATGTTTGGTGTGAACAGTTTTACACGTCATGAACAGAAATTAGGACCAAGGAGGAATCTGGGTAAACACACACCTAATAGGGATGGTGAAGATTTTGGTGGTGGCTCAGCTAGTTTAATCATTTCAAATATTTTGCTTGTTGCAGCTTTATTTTCTGCATGGATTGTACATGACTAGCACAAGGTTCTATCAAGCAACATTAACATGCAGTAGATAAAGCTTAGTAAAAAAATTATTTCTGCTCATAACAAAGGGGGACCCCCAGATATAAACATGGCCCAAATTTTGCATCTTTCGAATTGTTTTGAATTGAAACGTAGAGTTTCTATATATTTATAAGCATAGCGAACCAGAAAAGTGTTAGATATTCTGTTAGTAAGCATATCATATTTTACGATTATAGCAGTTCAAAACGTGGACGTCATCTTTAATCTTATTTAATTTGGGGTCCAAAAGGATTGCTCAAGAGAATAATTAAGAAACTTATAAGGTTATTAAGACCATTTAGTTAGATTTTATGATTATTTATGCTATATGTTCATTGATAATTGACTATTATTATGGATTATTATCAATGATAATTATTTATTAATTATTGTTGAGTAGATTATTTTTTGAAAATTAATACAGTGAGTTGAAAAGCACAGCTGTGTTTTATTATGTGTCATTTACTAAAGCTAAGGACTGGAGGCATGGACCAGTTTGGAATATAAATTAAACTTCAATGAAATTTTAAGAACTTTTATTTTTTTCAATGCGGAGTAGAATTCACAGAAAAGATGCAGCTCGACGTGCGCAAAAAGCGTAACAATGCTCTCGTTGTAAATTTGTGATTCTACAAAATGGAACTTATCTCAAAACGCAACAAATGAAACCATTTCAAAGTTTGCCTTGTTTTTTCTGATTGATGAGTTTCGTCTCTTGGTTTTGTTTCCCGTTTATTGCTCTTTGTTTCGCTTTCATTCTTGCTTTGAGGTCACAGAATCTTCATGAGCGCTGTCCTTCAGAGCTTCCCGTACCATCATGGGGATTTCTTTCTCAGCAGTCAAGTGTTGGGTGACGGCAGACAAGGCTGATTCCACTTTGTCATTGTGTTCATGAAACAAAGGTCTGATAATATTGGCGTACATGACATGAGAGCCATTGGCCGTGATAGGAGCCATGCACCAGGCGAGGAAGAGAAATTTCAGCAAGTAATACATGGGCAGCCACACAAGGAAAATCTCCAGCACTATTTCAAGAACATTGATTATACTGTACACAATCCAGTACATCAGCCAATGTTCTTTTTGCTGGCCATGAAGATTTTCTAAAAAAATTAAGAGTAAAAGTTAACTAGGGATCCAAGGATAGTGTAAAGTTTCAAATTGAATAAGATCGGGAAGAACTGCGTAGGGTCTAGCGGGTTAATAGGTTTGCTGAACAATTAGGCCAAACAACGTCACATTAGGCCTTTGTTTTTTTTTTGTCTTAGCCTTTTGTTTTATTTGTTTTCAATAACGGCACTAATACGATTTGGCCTAATTCTTCATCTAACATACATCTGCACGTCACTCAAAAATGTGGATTAGAACAAGGTTTTTACGAGAGAAACATTTCATTGTCACTTCCTTCGCCGTGCCTCGTGGAACTGGTACAATTTATTTATTTATTGTGATGCTACACGAGACAACTCGAAATTTAAATTCTTTCACCAACAACCAAATTTTGTATATTCTAAAACTACAATTGCATTGGGAGCTGTCGCTGAAAGTATCCCCATATGAGGCTACTGATATACTAAACTTATTTAAAACTATCAGCGCCCATATTGCACATCAGTCTCAGTGACACTTTTAATTGAAATAGCTGTATAACTACAGTGTGTCCCAAAAAAGTACCCTCTATAGAAAGTATCTATCCTATTGTTATAAGGGTACTTTTTTGGGGACACACTGTAGTTAATATGACGTTGCATCCATTACAAAAAACATAAATCCAAAACACAGACACATAAAAATGAGGCGAAAAATTCATTCAAATGACGCATTTTATCCCCATATCCGCTCCATGGATCCGCTAGCTTCCGCATCCGCATTTTAACTTAATTGTGACATGTTTCTCAATAACAAGTCTCAATGACCTTTGACTTTATATTCCCAAGGCCAAGATCAGGTTGGGTTTTTTTATGAGTCATTTTCAGCTTTTCGCAAGTATTCAATAATGTCACTTTAGATGTCAATAATTTCACAGTTACAGCAGAGTTTATTGCTAGCAGTTTTGATCAAGCTTTGATACAGATATAGATTCTCGTAAGATCTGGTGTTCTCGTTGCACTTGAATATTGCATTGTGCCATTGAACACCAGTTTGCACCGTTGTGCCAGACATGTGAACAAGGCCCGTGACTGTACACGTTGGATAGCAAATGCCATACTGAACGCCATACAATGATATACAAACACTACTTCTGTTTGATAGTTATTTATGCTCTACTGATCTGATGCAATTTTTTGCTCTTCGTACTGATCGACCCTTACGAAAAAAGTCTATAGGTGGCCTATAGGTGCCTATAGGAAATGTTCCAATTCCCTATAGAAGCCTTTAGGCATCTATACAGCTCTATAGGCTTATAGGCATCCCTATAGGTCACCTATAGAAAATGTTCCAATTGCCTATAAAAACCTAGTGACCTATTCTGTGGTGTAGCAGTGTAGCATGCCTTTACAGTCGAAGTATAATGAATATGACTAAATAATATCGGCATTTAATTGAATGCCGGTAATGCACAACATCAATTTATATATTACGTAGCATCTCAAAGATTTTATCAATATTCATCGGTCTGAAATGTTTATGTATTTGAAAACAACGCTGTCTCGCTCCTTCCTAGCTCTGTATAATGAATATACCGTCAAAATAATATCGGCACTTCGAAGATTTTCTCAATATTTATAATTAGGTCTGAAACGTTTTCTATACATTTGGAAAAAAGCACTATGTAGCTCCTTAATTCTTAGCTCTGTATAATGAATATACCGTCTAAGTAATATCGGTACTTGACTGAATGCCCGCAATGAATAACATCAATTTATATGTTGCGTAGACTCTCAAAGATTTACTCAATATTCACATCTGAAATGTGTATACATTTGAAAACAACACTGTGTCGCTCCTTCCTAGCATCGTCACGTCATCGTAATCCACGGTTTGATAGCGCATGCGCGTTTGCGCTGCTAAAGAAAAAATCGAGTGTTCCGGGGTAAAGATCTTTTACACAACATGAGAAGCGAATGTTATAAAACTTACAAAAAAATTACAATAACGACAACCACTCCTCAAAATTTTTGTGAACTTGGCAAAAGGACAAAAGAATATTTAAATAAGACAACTAAAATTGCCTAAATAACCTTCAAAGCACTGACTAAATACAATAAATCACTTCGAACATAAATCGCATACACCCCCCGGAAAGTTTACACTATTATGCCTGATCCCTGACTCATATGAATTTTCCCCCACTCATCACAATAGTTGTCAAGTTTCGAAGAAACTTGACACTAAAAACGGCAGTCGGATACGCATCATTCAAGTTTCAGACAAATTTGGATAACGCTAGTTTATACCCAATTGACAACTTGAGGTAACTCACATGTCTAATTATTATTGTAGTTTACAGAAGCATGAAATAGAACAAACGTAACTAAGCTTTACAATTATCTACATGATTGAATAACTCTTGTACATAATTCTAAAGCTTAAGTTAGCTACCATCCGCTTCCCCGTGACGTTTTACTGAAACCCGCAACTAAGTACCGCTAAATACACCCAGGTGATTTTACCTGAAGCCTTGATGGAGGCATATATGGGGTAGATCACACCCAAGATATTACACAAGGTGCCAGCACTGCGTCCCAGAGATAGATACACGACAGCAAACAAGAACGCACCAACAATCAAATATCGACGGTTGATATGTGTCGCTTTCTCAAACCAATGTAAGGTGTATGCCAGAGCGTTACCATCACCTTCTATCACGTGATCAATGTTATGAACCATATCGGATATAATACGAGTGGATTGTCGACGCTGAGTGATCAGAGTGTGTTTTAAGCCTCCAAGTGAAAGACCTTTCCACAGACTTGATTTTGTTCTTGGCACAGTTTCCTGCGAGTCTTGCGCCATATCTTCGCGCCGTTTTTTGTGCGCTGTTCTTTTTGCGCTGTTTCGGTTCCTATCTGCGCGCGCTCAGTGTCATTAGCAAACGTAAATTGATGACATCACAAATTAAAAGAAATTTTCATCTCAGACATACGGCGGCACGATGTTCAAAATCTAGATAGCTAATTAGGTCTTTAGGATACTTTACAGTTGACCGTATTTTGAATAAAAAGAACAGTCACATTCCAAACACTGGATCGTGACTGGATAACAATATTGTTATATGCAAAACAGCGCGTTTAACATCAAACAATAGCCTCAAATCGAGGCAGACGATGTAATCTATTGTCAGCCAGCAAATCACAAGAGGGAAGAAGACCTGGGAACGAGGTTGCCAGCAAATTCGGGAGGTGTCTACACGGAGGTATTTCGCCCTCTTCGGCGATTCTTACAGCAACCATAGTTAATAGCAGGAACCAACACTGCGTAGCGGCAGTTGCATAAATTCCGCAAACATCAGATTTACCAGAGCACAATGCGGCTCACTCTCCACAAGAAGACTGGGGCAAGGGCAAAAAAACAAGATGGCGGATGAAAGTGCTCGGCGGTGGACAGACAGAAAAACAAATCCATGTTCAGAAGAAGCCAGAGCGTCACTCAAATGTTTAGATGACAATAATTATAACAGAGGATTATGTGAAAGATATTTTGAAGCGTATAGGAACTGTAAGAAGGCTTGGAACGCTAGGAAAGCTGAACGAAGGAGACGAGGCATACACCCTGATGACCCGTGAATCGTGTTGAAGTGATTGCTCAATGTGTGCATTATCAGATGGAGTTTGGTGAATGATTCATTGCGGTTTGAGTGCTTGCAAAGTAAACGTTTAATAGAGATGTACTGCAGAGGAAGGATTCTTCAAGACTGCACTGACTGCATAGTGAAACTGGACAGAACAGACAAAATATACTTTACAATTATTGAATAAATTTTAAAATAGACAAAACTCTGGAAGTATTTTTTGTAAAGAAAACTTTTAATATATGTCTAATATTATTATTATACATTATACTGGAAATAACAGCATATCTGTTTCTTCTTGAGGTGCTGGTTCTGCTGAGTACCCCCCCCCCCCTGAGTACTCCTCCCTTGTGAGTCCCCCACCCAATATTTCATCTATGAACACAATAAAAACAAAACAGTTGTTCTTTGAACTTTGAAGTGGTTTTCCTATTGTCTGAAAACGTGGTACTGGCAATGTCATTACTACACTATGTACATGTATGGATATAAACTTCCATAACTTAGTTGCTGGATGCATCACTTCTCCATGCCTAAAATAAAATGTTATGAAATTACAGGATTAATGATTAACTACATTACTTGGGTGTAACAAGGTGTAGAACTATAAGCTCTATATAGGAAGAATTCAGTGGTTTATTCTGATAAAAATTAATACACCTCATATGTTCACGAGTCCGAGATTTGGGTGATGACAGGCATGACCATACATTGGATCTTCCATGTGCACTAGAGCTGTGTGGTTAACCGAAAAATTCGGTTCTTCCGGTACTTTTTTCAGCACCGAAAAATTATACGCAAAAGAACTGGTAGTTTCGGTTTTAATTTCCCGTTTAACGCCCGCCAAATGCCCACCTGATTGCAGGTTGAAATGTTTGGAAAATAACAAGATTGTGCTCTTTGTGCACAATATGCACTGTACTAAGTGCTCAAATAGTTGATATTTTAGTTGTGATAGTTATTGTTGTGAACTTGCTTTAATTTTTTTTTAAAAACTAAGAAATATTACATCTTCATAAATAAATTCCAATTGTTCTTTTAAAATATTCAGAGATTTATAAAAACTTACAAAGGCATAGATTCATCTATTTAGTAAAAATGCTTGAAACATACATAAATGAGTTCATACATTTGTACTTTCTTCTTTTTTGAAAATAACCGAACCGAGGTTTTTTTGTTCCAAAAAAACCCCGAAACCGAGATAAAATTTTTGGATCGCACAGCTCTAGTGTGCACACCATGTGCTTACAGTCCTTGAAACTCCTGAAATTCCAGGTCAGCAAGAAAGTGCAGACCTAAAAGCGATAATTCTGAATCTAGGTCGGCAAATATTTTCAAAACAAATAGATAATATCCAAATGAAAATTTTATTTGCTTGCTGCAAATACGCATATTTATAAACAGCAATTAATTGCAATCAATGCCAATAGCAAACAAAACAACTAACAAAATGTATGAACTCCAATCTAACAGTGCTACTACACAACTTTATTACCATATACATTCACTTAAATCTTGACGCTCGACGATTTTAACATGTATGATTTTTTTTTTCTGTGTTGGTGTAATGTACTCAGGTGAATATGATGTTTGTGATGTTACTGGGCACACCAGGCAAGCTTGAAAAATATGCCTGACCACGGTGGGAATCGAACCTATGACCTTTGGAAACAAAATTGAAAAATTTAACATGTATGTGTACTTTTCAAAAGATGCGTTCGTGGAAAAAATGCCGAGATGTATTTGAAAGTAGGTTGGCAAACTTTTGCGACCTAAATCTACACATATCCAGACCTGTCAAGTTTTGAAAATTTTTATGTGGGAAGGTAATTTCCTTAGGTTAGTGTCCATGAGGCGCCACCATGGTTGGCGCGCCCAGGGGGAAATTTTGAGTTCCTCAGAAAATTGCCTTTCCAAGGTTTTCCTTCAGTCTTTTTCGAAGCACAAACCTTATGTGTACATGCTATAAAAAATATGAATGTTAACATCACTCCTCTTCCCAAACGGCAAAAATAACGCCCCTCAGGCTCAGGAGTCTTCCAGTTTTTTTTTCTCTTTTTGATATGCGATTGAGACACACATTTTCAAAACTTCTGGGCACTGGCGATGGCAAAAAGAATGCATTGGACATCGTGCAAATGAAAAGAAACAGGAGTAATTACCCCACAGGAAGAAACCTCCACAAGTTAAGTTTTTAAAATGCGGGAAGAAAGTCACTTCATGCAGGATGCGTGAAAGCAAACGAAAAATGTGGTATTTTCATGGTAATTGCGGGAAACTTGGAAGGTCTGCATATTGCTTTGCAGGTCTGCATATTGCTTTGCTTTGCTATTGCATAATGCAGGTATCAGCGGCTTTCCCAGGGAGTCGACCCAGGGAGTCGACCCCCGGGCCACCCTGGGGATTTGTCAAAACAGCCTTGACAAAAGGACACTAATGCCCGTGGGTCTGGGCAAAATTTTGTCACAAATACCCCTACCTCCGGGGCGAAATTTGGAAAACAATAATTTCAAATATAACATGGTTATTTACAAAGAAATTTGTAGAAAGTTAATATACTTATCAACATATTTTTGGGCATCTCGTTCAATAAACATGAAGCGTAGGCCGTAAAGAAGATATTTTTGAACTAAAAATTCACACACAATTTTATATAGGACATTTGTCATTAATACGCTTGCTATTTTAGCCTGCTCAATAAATCAGTATGCAATACAAAACGTTTAAAAAGTTTGTGTCCTTTATACTAGTTTCCAGTGCTGTAATAGTTACTTATTTTTTGTAACTAGTTACAGTTACAGTTACATCATCAGAAAACTAACTAGTTACCGATACAAGCCACAATTGAAAAAAAGTAACTAGTTAAAATTACTAAGTTATTTTAAAATTTTTGTAACTAGTTACAGTTACAATGGCAAAGTTACATCCATTCTTTTGGCTAATAGAATTGAGAAAACATGTTGTAAGTTAGACAAAATGTTTATTTAATTTGACCAGAAGAGAATTGAGGAATGATGTGGTCTAAAAATTAGTCCTGCACAGCTAAACAATCTTTCACAAGATGCGCTTGCACGCACCGGTGTGTTCAGTTCAATGAAAAGCTGGCGCAGTTTCGGCCAACTTGCATATACAGATAACTCTTCCGTGTGGCTTTCCAGAAATAACTGCAGCTCAGATGCACTTGTCTTCCTTTTAGTAAAGAAAAAAATTAACTTAACAAATTTAATTCAGACGAATTTAATCACAGATTTAGTGTTTGCAAGCTAATCCACGCCCAATATGAATGTGTTTCTAAATTTGAAATATTGACAGTTGACTGTCAATATTTCAAATCCAAATTTCAAGTCCAAACAAATCATGTTTGACAGCCAATTGGACGCGTTTTCTCATGACATGTTTCTGCTTAGTTGCAATCGACGGTATATTGTTCATGTGCTTCGAAATGCTTCGAATTTGCTTCGAACTTCGAAGGCTCGAAGCGTCTTCAAAAATCATAATTAAGAATTTTTTGATGAATCACCGCTGACCGATATAGCAGAAGTCCATATGCAAATCCCGGGCGTTTGTGTCCGGGGTTAATTTTCAAAATACAAATGTAGGCTAAATCCCCGGTCTCCGGGGCGTGATTTTAAAACAAATTCCGTGCCATGCCCGGGGGTTGCCCGTGAGTTGCCCGGGGGTCGACCCCCCGGGAAAGCCGCTGATACCTGCATAAGTTTGAAGGACTGGCTTACCTCATACTTATCTTTCCATTCTCTCAGTTCTTCTCTATATTTTCTCATTAAAGGTGACGCCTGTTCATTCAATCTCAGTTTGGTCTCTTCGTCCAGATTTTGCCACCTTTGGGCACAATCTCGGATAAAGTCTTTCATATCTTCATCTTTACTGCGCGGATTTTCTCTGAAACACGACTTGACAAACGAAATATAACCATTGCCCGGGTATTTCGGCTTCGGATGCTCTTTTTCATACGCACGCATATCGGATTTAATACGCCTTAAAGCTCGCTTGTCCTCTGGACTTAAATTCACTTGGTATTCTTTTATTCTTCGTTTATAATCTCCTAAAGATTCTTCGTATTTGTCCTTGTAAGGTAACTTCTCCAGTTCATCAAAACCACGCCATTCTTCGCTAATCCTTTTCGACATTTCCATCAAGGACAAATCCTCGTATTCAGGCTGTCGTTTCAGTTCGTTACGTCGTTCTGTAAGAAACAACACCCAAGAACTTGGTGGTCTTTTCGGCTTTTCTGGCATGCCTGGAAATGCCTTAGCCTTTGCATATCTCACTTGGGTAACAGCTGCATACCTCCCTACACTTTGCTGCAAGAAACGATCCCAAGATCGTGCACAATACGCCCAAAACGAAAGCATTTTGAAATCCAACTCGTGTTGTTGTGAAAAAAGTGATATTCGACCGCGTTATCCAGTTTGGATTCTCCAATGCTGATTGGCTGAATTTTGACATTAATTACATGTCGTCCAATCAGAATGTTTCATGTTGTAAAAGCAGTAAAACCACTGAGCTATAATATTACTGGAGGAGGTGCTCCTATCTCTCGTCAGTCAAAAAAGTGTCCGCAAAAACATGGCGGATTTTCACGTTTGCTGACGGTGAAGGCTATTTCAGATACGGTAGAGCACCTAGTCCCCAGGCCTTTACCAGCGCGACCGCGAAATTCAATATGGCGCCAAGCTAAGGAGTGGAGTTTAAATAGAGTTTATATTCTATAATTTCTATTGTTGTTTTTTGATCTTTTTATTCTTTTTGGTTGGTAGAACTTATATTCTGATATGCCAGGTATCTTACTCTTTACCTGATTAATCTGAAAAAAGATTTTATAACAGAATTTTTCTCAAACATAGTTTAAATTAATTTATTATATAAACATAAGTGTTATATAGAGTTTTTGGCCACTGAGAAAAATCGTATTTAAACACACGTAAAAAATACGATATTTTTACGTGTGAAAATATCATTTGTTGTAAAACGCATTGCCACGGACGTTTTATTGTTTTTTACTGAATTTTGTTTATATAATAAACAGAAAAATACATGGGTGCTTGGAAATACCAGATTTATTTCTCGTGTTGAACGTGATATCTCACTTGTTCGCTGCGCTCACTCGTGAGATATCATGTTCAACACTCGAAATAAATCTGGTATTTCCGCGCACCCATGTATTATTCTCTATATCTATATGTTTCAGTGAATTATGCTTTAAAAGTAAAAAATAGATTGGCCAAGATAAGAAATTTTTGACACTTTCAACTTCAATTTTGAAAATTGTAATAACAGCCTAGTTTATATTCCATAATCCACAGAGCTTGAAAATCCATGCGGAATGTACAAATTATTGACTTTTCGAGTGAAGTTCTGTTTGAATTTTTCAGGTACTAAGTTATATATAGTTATCTTGCTATCGTCTCTATCTAGCCTGGCACAGACCGTTCAAGATTGCACTGTTTAATTAGCACCAACACTAACAGTCATGGTGGCAGGGATGGATCCAGCATGATCTGGTAGGGGGGGGGGTTGATCTGCCAGCTCTAATGCCGAGTTATGTTGGTCATGCATGCCACCCGCCCATCAACTTACAGGTCAAGTCTTGCTTGACTACTGTATTTGAATTGTAATTGTTGTTCACAGTTCGCTTCTTATCATGTTATCGATCTCACTCAAATTACTGTATCTCATTTTGTCTCTAAAATATTTTTTTGCTTTATCATGAAAAATAGCACCCCCCCCTGGCCAGGGCTAGGGAGGTGACCCCCCCAGTAAATCCATCCCAACATACAGTTGGGTTTATAGGGGGAGGGGAGGGGGGTTGACGGAGGTAAACACCCTTGGCCAACAGGGGAGTGTAAAAATCGAAGGGGGGGGGGGTGCACTACAAATTGAATTTACCATACATCTGAGCATTTGAGATATTGTATATAATTAGTATTACAATTATATTGCCGCCTTGTAACCTTAGATATTTCATGTGGTATACATGTGTAATTGGGGTTAGTATGCTAAGTATCTTACTCGTCAAGCAATGCCGGGTTCAGAGTCCTCACTTGTTCGCCTAGCACTCAACAATATACAATTTTAATGCCAAATTGTGTGCCAACATGCAAAATGGACTCTGCACAGGTTGTGCACTACCTTTTCATTTCATGCTGGGTGAACATTATTGTGATGATAGCAAAAAAAAACATATTCACAACTAATGTGTCCTCTTTTACTACTTTTGTAATTGTCTTGTTTCATGACCTAAATAAGCTGACACACTTAGTAGCTCATGCTTACCTTTCAACTGGCACATTAGCAATGGCCGGCCCATTTTTCTTTATAGTGGTGTCAGGTGTGCAAGTTATTCAATAGGGTACTAACCTTGTATACAGGGCATTATAGAATTAAAAAAATCTGGGCAGGATGTTATAAGGCCATCGGAAGTAAATCAATATTGGGGGGACTCAAGAATATATCTGAATAAATTTTAATTGCTTTTGCACTTTTCTAGTTATTTTGTGTGTTTTGCTTATACAAATGGAAATTTTAGGGGGGGCTCATCAGACGGCCTTGTGTTACATGTGACATTCCAGCTGCCATTAATAGTTTGCAGAATTGTGAAAAATAAATCAATACTGTAGATGGCAAATTTGTTTAAATTAAACAACATACACTGCAACAAATCATGATACAGACAAGCACATTCTGTATATGAGGCTTGCTAAGATGTGTAACAAACATTCAACATCAAACAATTTAGTTATTGTCACATAAAAGAACACATAATAGAGCAAAACCTTATATGAATATCATATCTGTAAAGAATTCAGATATTCAAGTACTTCAGCAAGACATAACAGAACACATAGTGGAGACAAACTTTATAATCAATCTCATGTTTTTCATTAAGGATGGATCCAGCATGATCTGGTAGGAGGGGGGTTGCTCTACTAGCTCTGCATGGTGCCGAGTTGTGTCGGTCATGTGTGCCGCCCACCCATCAACCTGTTTCACTACTGCAAAGTCTTGCTGGACTACTGTATTTGAATTGTAATTGTTGTTCACAGTTCGCTTATCATCATGTTATTACTCAAATTACTGTATCTTATTGTGCCTCTAATAATTTTTTCCTTTATCATGAAAAATAACACACCCCCTCTGGCCAGGGCTAGGGGGGTGCACCCCCCAGTAAAGCCATCCCTGTCATTAACAGTAGGGTGTAATGGACCAAGCCATCCCCTTTAATTTGTTTCTTTGGTTGGGAGAGGAGTTCTAAGGCCCTTCATAATTTTTGAAGATTACATTACATAATACAATATTAATTTTACTCATTGCAAACAGTAAGTTACAAATGAGCTTTGTATTCCATAGAATGCAAAGTATTTAACTATTTCTGGGTAAGGTTAGATTTTAAGTTGTTTTTAAGAAGTTAAAGCTGATCACATAATCAATCTATTTTTTGGGTCACTTAAGGATATACCCTGCAAAAATAGCACTTTCCTTTTATTTTACAACTTGAAATTCACATTCTATTAGACACTAGGGGCATATGGGGTACTCATTTTCCAGAATCTTAATTATGGGTAGGATGAAATCTCAGTGTTCCCTGTGAAGGGCCCCCTTGACCCAGGGCCTTCCTTAGGGATTCTTCAGGGGGGTGTAAGGTCATTTCAAACGATTGAAGAACAGGGCCGCCGAGAGGTTGACGGGAGCTCAGACGAAATAATATTAATTAATTATTATTAATTTATTTATAATAATTATTATTAATTTAATTAATTAATTAATTATTAATTTAATTTATTAATTAAATTAATTATTTAAATTAAAATTTCCAAACACTGCATAAAGGTTAGCCCAGGGACCTTCCTTGACAAGGCACACCCCCTGGGCCCCTGGCTCTTGCTAGGCACAGCCCTTAGGAGTTATGCCACTGCGGAGTGAACATCTGACCATTATTCCAGCCGGCTTGCTGTACAACTTTCTATTTACTTGAGCATAAAATATCTAGTAGAAGAGCTAATTCAATCATAAAATGTTGAGTTCATAAACCATGGTATGCAGGGCAAAGGTACTGAAACATCTAGTGGCAAGGGTTGACCAGAGGGTGGGTACAATTGCATCTGACTGATTTCCCAGTGAGTATGGAATACTCAGGATTACCAAGTTAATTGGTCTTGTGGAATTTTATGTGTATTATGTCTATAATACCAATGGAGAAAGTGCATTACCACTTGCAATCTACAGCATTGATTTATTTTTCACAATTCTGCAAACTATTAATGGCAGCTGGCAATGTCACATGTAACACAAGGCCGTCAGAAGTGGGGGGCTTGAGCCCCCCCCCCCTAAAATTTCCATTTGTATAAGCAAAACACACAAAATAACTAGAAAAGTGCAAAAGCAATTAAAATTTATTCAGATATATTCTTGAGTCCCCCCAATATTGATTTACTTCCGATGGCCTTGTAACATCCTGCCCAGATTTTTTTAATTCTATAACGCCCTGTATACAAGGTTAGTACCCTATTGAATAACTTGCACACCTGACACCACTATAAAGAAAAATGGGCCGGCCATTGCTAATGTGCCAGTTGAAAGGTAAGCATGAGCTACTAAGTGTGTTAGCTTATTTAGGTCATGGAACAAGATAATTACAAAAGTAGTAAAAGAGGACACATTAGTTGTGAATATGTTTTTTTTGCTATCCTGAGTATCCTCACGATAATGTTCACCCAGCATGAAATGAAAAGGTAGTGCACAACCTGTGCAGAGTCCATTTTGCATGTTGGCACACAATTTGGCATTAAAATTGTATATTGTTGATTGCTAGGGGAACAGGTGAGAACTCTGAACCCGGCATTGCTTGACAAGTAAGATACTTAGCGTACTAACCCCAATTACACATACCACATGAAATATCTAAGGTTACAAGGTGGCAATATATTTGTAATACTAATTATATACAATATCTCAAATGCTCAGATGTATGGTAACAGGCTGTAACAAATGGCTTTAAATAAATTTTGGTAAATTAAATTTGTAGTGCACCCCCCCCCCCCTTTCGATTTTTACACTCCCCTGTTGGCCAAGGGTGTTTACCTCCGTCAACCCCCCTCCCCTCCCCCTATAAACCCAACTGTATGTTGGGATGGATTTACTGGGGGGGTCACCTCCCTAGCCCTGGCCAGGGGGGATGCTATTTTTCATGATAAAGCAAAAAAATATTATAGAGACAAAATGAGATACAGTAATTTGAGTGATATCGATAACATGATAAGAAGCAAACTGTGAACAACAATTACAATTCAAATACAGTAGTCAAGCAAGACTTGACCTGTAAGTTGATGGGCGGGTGGCATGCATGACCAACATAACTCGGCATTAGAGCTGGCAGATCAACCC